ATGATGGACATTGCCCTCGACGACCATGGCATCGCCATCAATTTCGAGGGCTTGGACAATGACCTGAAGGAGGTAATATCCCAAGTTCCTTTCGGTCAAGTGCTAGTCGCAAAGAGTACATTACTAACTTTGGTAGTCTGATGGCCCTGGAGTCGAGGAAAAGTTGACGGAAAGAATATCTCTGCTAGCCTCGGAACTCGAAAAGTTGAACCCGAATATGCGAGCCATGGAACGCCTTGAAAGCGTCGAATCAAGGTTAAAACAGACAGACCAGGAGTATGAAGACTCCAAGACGACCGCACAGGCCGCGAAGGACGCATTTGCCAAGATCAAACAGAAGCGATACGACCGTTTCAACAAGGCTTTCACTCACATCCAAGAGCAAATATCTCACGTATACAAGGATCTCACACGATCTGAGGCGTATCCGTTAGGTGGGCAGGCGTATCTCGATATTGAAGAGGACACAGACATGCCTTACCTCTCCGGTATCAAGTACCATGCCATGCCACCACTGAAGCGCTTCAGAGATATGGAACATTTGTCTGGCGGAGAAAAGACCATGGCTGCGCTGGCATTGCTCTTCGCCATTCATAGCTACCAGCCAAGTCCTTTCTTTGTATTGGACGAGGTAGATGCTGCACTTGACAATGCCAATGTCGACAAAATTAAGAAGTATATCCGCGAACACGCCGGGCCTGGAATGCAGTTTATAGTTATCAGCCTGAAGACGGGACTTTTCCAAGATTCAGAAAGTCTAGTTGGCGTATATCGAGACCAGGAAGTGAATAGTTCAAGAACTTTGACCTTGGATGTGAGTCAAGTTTTCCTAGGCACTACCTTGCATGTACTAATATCGTGTTCCTAGCTGAGAAAGTATGCCTGATGATTTCAATCCCTGGCTCAGGAACCTACTTTGAGGACTCGAGGTCAATGAAGCGTAGGAGACCGGATATTTGGGCCCAATAAGAAATGTGGTTTTTTGATTGGTTCTTTAGGCTAGAAGCCCGGGGAGTTACTGCTACATTAGGGCATGCGAAATATATGCTACGAGCTTGATGACGAACAAGATGGATCAAACTGATAGTCGAGTTTGAGTGGACGGATATGTTGTATATATAAGGCCAGATGCAAATTTAATAGTTTCCACCATTTCCAAAGCAATTTGCGCCTTGCGACGGTTATCTTAAGGGCCCTGCGTAATGTGGCCTCTTAAGACTCTAACTGACTGCCTAGCTAGGTAGATATCGACTAGGTTGCCTCACGTTGTCGGAACTCATCAGCTGGCACCTGAGACCTGCTATGACCGGAGGCAAAGATGGCACCCCTTGGGTGCGGGATGATGATGATAATGGATTGGTCTTCGTCTTTGAGGGACCAGTCTCCACACGGGAGCATGAGACGTGCTAGGCTTAGAATGAACTTCGCTGGTAGAAGGCTGTGCACGGACCACTGTAAATGGAAAGAAATTTGACGCTAGCCCAAGCTACTTAAGTACTTAAGTACCTGGGTAGGTACCTAGTACCTACCTAGGTACCTAGGTAGTTACTACTACCACAGTGTAGCAGGGGAGCATACTAAAACTTTCAACCACAAGCACAGGGAGGTATATCCTATCTATTTTCCGACGTCGCATCTTGTTTGTTTTTTTGTTTGTATGTACGTGAATCACTATTCAAGGTGACCCTTGGATTCGTACTATCACCTAAACAAACACCGAGGCCCTTGGTCTGCGCGGCGCGCCATTGATGGTTCGAAGTGGCGCGCTTCGTGGCATCGCCGAACCTTGCGCTCGAAATGGTGCTATAGAGACCTAGAGATGCTGAACTTCACGACACCATCCCGCATACATCTCCCGCGCCACTCGACCTAGGCGTAGCCTTTCCTCTCTGCGTATCTCCTTTAGCTACCAGAACCTGTGTCTACACTCAAGTGGTGATGGGGCAGTAGCGACATCTTCCGCGGAAGACACCGGAAAGACGCTGGTCAGTGATTTAAAAGATACCGACACGATACCGATAAGCCAACCGTCGAAATGGATCTCGCCGTTACTCTCATAAAGTCCGTGTTGAGAGCTTTCTATCCGACACGCGACATATTGGTCATGGATGCCCTCATTCTTCACGAAGCGTATGACATTTCCACCAGGACCCTCTGCAGGAAATGCAGCTGCTAATGATGGACTGTTTACTTGCTCAATAGCCTCCGCGATGACGATCTGGCATATCTCATGGCTATAAACACGAAAGATCTGCATAAGATATGCGGTAAATTACGAGAAGATCGCTTCTTAACAGTGTGCGTCTTTCATGTACCTAGTTAGCCAACGACTGAGGTTACCTTCTGCTCTTTACTTTGTTTTATTGATTGACCGACCCAGACACACAAGATCCGAGCTGCGCGACGGCAACCCTCGGCCAAGTAACCGCACATGGTATTATATCAACTATCGACATACGATCGATGCGATCAAGTGGCGAGTATACACGATCGACAAAGAAGTTCAAGGGGCGCCAGTGCCAGCGAATGAGAAGAAGGAATATTTTTGCAGCTTTTGCAAGGCCGAGTGGACTGCTATGGAAGTTCTTGACAGTGTTGGGCCAAATGGCTTCTTATGTCATCGATGCCACCATACTCTCACTTTCGAGGCGGACCGAACTTCCACTGGGCATGAGCAGTCCACTCGATTAAATGATCAATTCAAATTTATAAGCGAGATTTTGCCGAAGATCGACGCAGTTCATATTCCCGAATGCGACTTTGACCGAGCTTTGGCCAAGGCCCGACCTGTCGTTCGTGATGCTACACATCAGCGGGCAGCTACCATTGCGGTCGAGAGTGGTCCAAACCGTCCTATGGCTGTCAAAGGACTCACCAATACTGGCCCTCAATCTATCGCAGTAAATATTTCAACGTCAGATGGTCCATCCGCTGCAGAGAAGGAAGCCGAAAAGGCCCGAAAGGAAAAGATTGCCCAGCAGAATGCGCTCCCCTCGTGGATGTCGAATAGTACTGTTACTGGCGAATCCTTCTCCGGAACACTTAGCGACGGGCTGATTTCGCTCAAACAGGATGACGAAAACAACACCGCATCAAAAGGCAAGAAGGTGGACGCAAACACTTCTGCGAAAATTGATGATATATTCGAAAAGCTCAAGGCTGAGCAAGCTGCAGAGATGGCTAAAGGAGTCATACCTGGCGGGAATGACGAAGATTTTGACTCGGAAGAGGAAGATGGGGATGAAGACGAATTCGAAGACGTTCCTGCAACTGGAAATACATCCAGTCTAGGCACGCCAAGTACCGCCGCCGTCAAGCGTGAGGTTTCTACTATACTGTCACGAGATGGAGATAGTGCGGATGAAAGAGCAGCCAAGAAGGTCAAAGTCGAACAAGAAATTAAGAAAGAGTCTGAGGGGCCTGAAGGCGATGACGATACCGGGGATGAGGATGAGGACATGGAATTTGAAGATATTTGATCGGGGGCATGGATGTTCGGGGCTTCAAAGTTTAGAGCTTTCCGAAGCGAAAATTGGCTGGGTGGTCTTTTGATAGCGAACGGAATCAGTCCCAATGCTTTATACATTTTCCTTTTGTGTCCTTATTTCCTGACAGATGGCTTATCTATTGATTTACAACCTGGGCCAAACTAGGGATATCAAGTACTTAGGCGCTGTAGGTATGTCTTTAAGGTTGTCGTCTCTGATGACAGGATCGTGTATATTCCGTCTCTACGGCGAGAGGTTGGGGGGCGCGGGGTGCGAATATATGGAGCCCACCAGATGAGAAGCATAGCTCGTCTTGAGCGTTCGTTTGACAAGGAGGTTCAAGCATTCATATTAAATAAAGGTGACGCCACGGAAGTCCAGGCCGCCGCCGCCACCACCACGTCTCCCAGCACGACATCCGAACATTGAAGGTGCATGCAGCCGTACCCCTACCGCCCGGTGCGGTTCTTTAGCACTTACTTCCTCAGTTCAGGCTTCCAAACGTTCAAGAACAGAATACGGAGTAGGACAACCCGTAATTATCTAACGAGGCGTGTGGTGAAAGCGCGCGCGTCACAGACAAGACATAGCCGGCACCCCCTCCATGCTTTGTAATGGCCAGCAATTTGGGATTTCCACGCATTTACCTGCTACCTAGTCATCTCGAGCCGTCGCAGCTTCACTATTTCGAGGAAGCAGTGCCGTCCATCACCTACGACATCAATGAAGCGGATCTTGTGCTAGGTAAAATATCGAAACGAGAGCGCGCCGAATTCGAATTAAGGCGGCATAATTTGAGGATTCAACCAGACTCAGTCTCAGGCGGAGATTTCCATTCTACCGCGCGCGACATTGCACTTGTAAGGCGCGAAGCTGTGGAAGAGCAGCCCAGCTCGAAACGTCGAAAAGAAGGAGACGCCCAACATCCAGATTATCGAACAGCGGAGAATAGTAGGGTTCAGGTTCTCAAATTGTCATGGTTGACCGATTGTCTTGCCCAAGGCAGGCTTCTTCCAGTTGACAATTACCTCTTGTATGGAGGCTTCAAAATCTCGTCACACGTCGGCTCTGGCGGACAGCAACCTGAGACGCAGAATATCTCCACTGGTGCAATTCTTCGCCGTGCCGCCGAGGACCATGCAGTGAATACCGCAAATCGGGCGGAGTCGTCATCTTTGCCTTTCAACCTTCATGATCCACGCCATAGTAGACACCCGCCACCCCCATTGCAACGACAGACGACCTCTGAAAATGACACCAGGCTTCCCGAGATTCCAGAATTCCTTCACACAACATATTCCTGCCAGCGGCCAACGCCTTTGCATCCTCCAAACGAAAAGTTTATCCTGGAGCTCAAAAAAATCCGAACCCTCAGACTTCTCCAGGGCAACCAGATCGGGGTACGGGCATACTCGACATCGATTGCCGCGTTATCAGCATATCCGCATGTGATCCAAAGTTCCCATGGCAAGTAATATGATGCCTTGAAGAGGCAATGTAATCCACTACATTATGCCTGATTTTATCGGAAAGAGGCTAATCGAAATGGACTTTGTAATAGACATTGAGCGGTTGCCAGGCTGCAGCACTAAGATTGCTGAGTTGTACCAAGAATGGTTGAAAGATGGTGAAACCAAAGAGACGGCAGCAGCAGCATCAGACGCAAAGATGTCTACCTTGATGCTGTTTTACGACATATGGGGTGTAGGCGATACGACGGCTAGGGAATTCTATAACAAAGGTAAGATTGTGACCAGTTATCCGCAATTTATATGCAGCAATAATCAAATGTTGACTTTGTAATCTTCAAAATGAAAAGGATGGAAGGATCTGGACGATCTCGTAGAATACGGCTGGTCGTCTCTCACTCGGGTCCAGCAAATAGGGGTAAAATTCTATGACGAGTTTCAACAGATGATCCCCCGACAAGAAGTTGAAGAAATCGCAAGTCTAGTCCTTCAACACGCGCGCAAGATCGAGGCTGGTTTCCAAATGGCCATTGTGGGAGGCTATAGACGAGGGAAAAAGGAAAGCGGTGACGTGGACGTCATTCTAAGTCATCGAGACGAATCACAAACCATGAATATGATAAATGACCTCGTCGTCAGTCTTGAGCAAGCCCATCTCATAACGCATACACTCAGTTTATGGACCAAGAATAGTGAACGAGGCCAGCTCCCGCTTGCCTGGCGAGGGGAGGGCGCCAGGCGCGGATCTGGATTTGACACGCTTGATAAAGCCATGGTCGTGTGGCAAGATAAGAAAAAAGCAGGAGATGATGCACCGCATCGAAGAGTGGACATCATTATCAGCCCGTGGAAAACTGTTGGGTGTGCTTTGCTGGGATGGAGCGGCGGCACAACATTTGAACGAGATCTTCGACGATATTGCAAACAAGAAAAGGGCCTGAAGTTTGACAGCAGCGGGATTCGCCGTCGCTCCGACGGGACATGGGTGGACTTTGAAAGCCATTATACCGCGTCGGACGAGGGCCCCGGCCATGACGGACGTTGTCCACAACTGGCACCGGATATGGATACGGCTGAGAGGCGGGTTTTTGAAGGGTTGGGCTTAACTTGGCGAGATCCAACAGAAAGATGCACAGGGTGAATGAAGGAACGAGTGGATAAATACAAGTCTCTTCAGTATATATGTGTGGAGAGGCGAAATACGACCTCGGGTGCTGTCCTTGTCCCTGAATTGATCGTTTGTGCGAGGTGGCCAACCAGGCGGTTTGGCCAACTTGGAACCATGGAACCGCCGCAACATCTATGGACAAGCTCAATTCGTAGCTCGAAGGAGAAATTATGGTGCTGGATCGCGATACGTGTCCTTACGCACTGGCTCTGAACGAAGAGTTAGATGAGACAACGGGAAATTCCATGCACGTCTCCGCTCGCCGGCGAGATTTAAACCACCGAGTCCGAAGCAAGACTAAGTACCTTGGAAGGTAGGCCTAGGGATGCCAGTGTTAACGACGTTTAAATTTCAATCATCAGTTTCTCAAGCTCGCTCTCTCCCTCCCTCTTTAGCGGCTCACGCTGACTGCACGACTTTTAGGCATACTTACTTAAGTAAGTAATTGACCTTTTTCTATCCACCCATCGAGGTCAGCACCTGCCCCAGGCTAGATATTGGTTATAAGACCGTGTCCGATTTCTGGTTGGTAGCAGCACGGCCCCCTCCGGAGCTTTCAGTTCAGGGCAGTGAGCGTCGGTGCCGTCAACATTGCTCCTACTATTTGAATGCAGGAACACGACAGGGCACCTGGGCCCTTTGTGCCGATGGCCCGGATAGTTTCAACGTTGCCAAGGCCGGTGTGCCGACTCGCCAGACTCCATGTCTTGTCGATCAAACGCCAGGCCCTGCACGGCGCTATGCGATCCCCCGCCGAGCAACCTTGACTTAGCTTGTCAGTTCCAGGCAGCTGGCTAGCTGCGTAGTCATCACAGCCATCAATCGAGGAAGGCGACGGGATAGCGAGGAGTCTTTCCCTACTCCGTGCTTACAGTGGATGTTTTATTGATAGGCCAGGCACGTAATATTACGCCAATGGTGCTCGACCTGTGGTCTGATACTTTGGCTACCAGACTTGGCAAGCCTGCGCATGGTCCGAGCCCGCAATGCCGCCACCCCGCCGCTGTAGAGCCGGCAACCAACATTGAAGCACCAAGTCTGTTCCGACACATATGCAGCCTCTGTCAATTATTGACATTTACAATCAATCTCCGAAATAACTAAATCACAGAGCCCTCCATGTATAGTCCGCTTGCGCGCCCATAAAGCCCACATCACCACCCGCTTTCGTTCTGACTCGGCTCCCTCCCTAAGTACGGCAATACAGCCCCGAGATACTCTGTTTACTCTAGGTTGCAAGCGCATGCAAGAAACATTCACAGACACAAACATATTGAAGTAATAGACTCAAGTTGACATTACAAGAAAAATGACCTTCATTCTCGAGCTCCCGAATCATTACAGGTCAGTTCTGAGCCTCCTGCTTATGTACCGTTACCTTACGTCGAGCAAATCGCTTGCAACTCTTGTCACTTCAAAGACACTGTGCAATAGCCCAGATTTAGTCACGCTGGAGGCACATAAACACTAGTGCTAACGTCATGTCTGTCGAGTCGCGGTACACAGCTTGGTGCTTGCTGTCGCCAGCAGTACCTTCTTTGTCAACACTTTCCATATGCTGCGAACCTCCCAGCTTCGCAAGGCTAGTGGTGTTGTGTACCCCAACTCATATGCCTCGGCGGAACGGGCAGAAAAGGATGGCAAAGCTTATGCCTTTAATTGCGGTACATTTTGCCCCGAGCTCTCCCCAAGATCACTTCTTGATATCAGGCAATTGACTGGAGAACATAGCCCAGCGTGCTCACGCAAACTTTACCGAGAATCACACGTCATTCCTCGGCGCCCTCCTTATTAGTGGCCTGCGTTTTCCTATGGCAGCAGCTGCCGTAGGTGCTGCTTGGACCGTGTTTCGCATTCTGTATCTCTTCGGATATACCAGCCAGGCCGGCCCCCGGGGTCGAACAACGTAAGTGCATTTGTTCCCAATAGCTACAACTTCAGTCTTCCGTTGACCTTTTTTTTTTTTGCTGTTGGAGATGGTGCTAACATATTTATAGTGGTGCCCTGGGTTCTATCTTGGCAGATCTTATTCTGAAGTTCATGGCTGCTTACACGTCTGCTAAGCTCGTGTTTGGAAACTGAGCCAGGAGACTATTCCTCATCGTACAACGACGCTTGGGGGGAAAAATGGCGGGATCTACTGTTTGAATAGTAGACGCATATATGCCAAGGAAGACAGCACAAGGAATCGGACGCATCTGACGCTTGTGATGTAGTAGCAGGGCGTGTTGATGTGGATGTTTAAACTTCGCCGTTCGTCAACGGCGGAGCCGTCGACGCTTGAGCTCCTGACTGATTTGCACATCGTCGTACGCAGGCGATTCCAATTGATCGCCGCGACTCGTCTCTTCTAAAAGCCGTTCGATTCCATTGTTTCCTAAAAGATAGTCGCCGTAGTACTTCATAGCACTAAAGACTTCTTCTCCACTGGGGACGATATATTCTTTGGGCAGAAGGAAACCGTAGGTGCCAGTATCTTGGAGTTTGACCTGGTAGCTGAAATGCGCGCCCATCTCGTGGTAAAACCAGTCAATTGCAGACCCGCCTCCTGATTCAACACGCGGCGTGAACTGGTCTTGTCGTGCTGTAGCACCTTCGCAAGCCGAGGTGACAGAATACGACTCCCCATCTGCCAAGCGGATAGCCTTTGCAATTCCAGCCGCAAGCTCCTCCAAGTTCTCAAGGTTCGGAGGCATAGCCTGACAGGAAAATGTGTAAGGGAAGAGAATCTGTTGGGAGTAAGAATGCAGGTCTACGAGGCCCACAAACTTAACATTGTTAAGAGTTTTGTTTCGAGCCCAAGTTGCTAACCTCATTGCTTCCACAGCCTGAAAAGGCTGTTCCCCTCCATAACTCTCCGAGCATGGGTCAGCTTGGGCTTGAGTGCCATCCCATCCATATCCGAACGCATGGTCCAGGTCAAGACCACGACAGTACCGAATATTTGTTTGTTGTCGTGATTTACGCCACAGGCGGTCCACCTGCCAGGAGTAATCCACGCCGTCAGGATTGAGCACAGGTACAAACACCATGTCGAATTCGTGAAGAAGTTTTGTTATCATTCGCTCTTTTCCAAAGGATGTGATGAAAGACCACGCCACATAATTTACGGTGCTGGTTGAGATCCACTCTCTGGCGTGAAGACCACCGGTGACAACGATCGTCTTTCGCGGCTTCGTTGGGTCAATAGTTGAGGACAGCCCAACACGTAGAGCTGATATTTCTCTTCCTTCAAAGGACTTCCCTATGGAAAAGTACTCGACATATGAAGGGAACATTGCCTCAAGCAGTCGCATCCAACGAACAATGACAGGCAATGGTTGGTAATCTTGGAAAAAAAGGTTGCCGTTTGCTTCTGAAAGTGGCGATGTTGAGACTGAGAGTGCTTCACCAGCCTCAACTGTTGGCTTTTGATGGTAGGATGGCATCGAGTTATAGACAGCGGAGGCGAGATCGGATATCAGGGTGGATTGAGCAACTTGAAGCGAAGGCGGGAGAAGACTGAGGAGAGGAGACACTTCATCGCGGTGCATACGAATATCGACGAATTCATCCGTGAATGCCCAAATATCTAGAAAAAGTCGGGCTGCCGCCTGAGCAAGGGCGATCTCCTCTTCAGGTGTGGTGACATTGAAGCGCAAGACCAGCTCGTTGGTGTATCTGGCCCGCAGACTGAATGGAACGGCATGTTGGTCGGCATTTTTCGTAGGATGACGGCCGAAAAGGAGTTCGACAGCGCTGTCGCGAAGTTTGGTCAAGAGTGGAAACAGGTGGGTGTTGCGGTTGCCAGTATTGGAAGGGCGTTGAGGATGAAGGCCTGCTGCAAAGCCTAGGCCGGGATGCTGAACGACCAGCAGTAGCCCAGAGGTCACAAGGCTGGCGAGTCCAGTTCTCATCTTTGTCTTCTCCTATTATCTTCTGCTCTTTTCTTTCTTCTTATTCCCAGGTCGCTTCGGATCGTATGTGGGCGGCACAACGGCAGAATTTGTCGGCTGCCGCTCAGGCACGAGCCGAAGGTGTGGTGGTGATTGCAAGTGAATGTCTCTTGCAAACTCGGGCGGCCTGATTCGTGGGGAGTTGCCCAGCACTGGAGCTAGCCAGCAGTCTCCAGACCCCAGGTAGCAATTTCATACATGTATGGTTCGTGGTCTTTACTCCGTACCTGGCCGGTACTTACAGATATATGTCGACAACCGCAGGTAGGCATGTATTTGAACACGGAGTATGTGGGTGCTTGGTCCTCAACTTCGAGGCGGATGGAGCAGTACTAGACACTAGTGTGTAGTAGTACACCGCATGTGCAGTCGGCAGACACTCACTGGATCGTGGATGAAGACCATGGGTCGTGGAAAGATGGGTCTAAATTCTAAGCGTCACCTATCACTTTTATGCTTTTCATGGTTTGCGCAACTTCAAGCGTGGATCACAAAACCTGGCGCTGGGAATTATGAAAGCTTGAAAAAAATTCACGAACTGCCCTGGCCGAGCCCCAAGTTGGACCTTTTGCATCAGGTATATAGATGCTACAACGTAAGTGGCAGGACGCCTGCGCGCAGCAAGGCGTTTAGGTACTTACCTACCAAGTAGGTACCTACTTTAGTAGGTAGGTAGGTTAGGTATATACTACTTCTAATTGAGCATTAGGCTTGTTTGACTGTGCAATCCCAGGCTTAAATGACAAGATATGATTTCTATCGAGTTGCATAGACTCTTGGTTTATAGAAGTGAAGTTTTGAAACTCTGGGCTTGTTCTGCCGAACCCCTTGACCACTTCTTATCGAACGGAAATCTTCGGGACCGACAATACCGATTTAGGATGAACACTGTCGTACAAATCAAGGACCTACCCAGCAGCCGAGCCTACTAAGTAGTATGCAGGTGCAAGGTAAAGTCAGGTAAGCAGGGCTTGCCTTCAAATGTTCTTCCCAACATTGCGCGGTCTTCGAAAACACTGGTCGGATACTTCTAGAAGT